ATTTTTTTTTGGTTCTATATGCAATGTCACAATTGGAATTTTTTATGTTGAATATAGTTCGACTGTGTTTTTTGAGGTTAAAATAAATATATATTTTGTAAATGGTGGTTTATATATTTCAGAAAGTAATATTCAACTGACTTTTTGCTTCAACACACTTTCAAATACGGATAGAAACATGCCCAGTTTCCAAAATGACCAAATTCTGATATTTTAGTAATTCAGAGTCGACATTCCTTTGGGGTACGACATACCCCAGTACACTTACTGTGTTATATTATTTGGGCACACTAACGGACGGTTAACAACACGCGGACGACACGGCCCTGCTGGCAAGATCCACGAGCCAAGTACATGTCACAAGGTACTTGCAACAACAGGCGAACAGATAAGAGGAGTGGGCCAACCTGTGGAAGATGTGTATAAACCCTGACAAGAGTCAGGTGATACGGTTCACTCGCAGGTTTGTACAACCAGAAGGCAACGTCATCTTCAACGGGCAAGAGAATGGCCAGACAACGGCTGGCACTAATCATAGGACGCAGAAGCAACATGGGGTTGAAAGTGAAGTTGCTGATTATCAAAACCGTTCTCATGTCCATAATACTGTACGCATGCACTGCCTGGGGCCAATGCGCACAGACATACAGGAAGAGGATACAGCCGTTCATGAACGCGAGCGTAAGGGCCGCCGTTAACGCACCGTACTACATCCCCAATAAATTTATATACAGAGACTTAGACCTGGACACGCAGTATGTGGACGTGTATGTGAGAGAACACGCAGAAAGCGTGTTGGATAGAATCAGATCGCAAAACAACCCAGCGCTACGCGATCTACAGGATGCGTTGAATATGGATGACCCCAGGTTCCGAGAAAGGGACAAACATCCAAGGCCGACGAAACAGAATCTACGACCACTCCCACGAGTCGCCGTATCATGTATATTTGTTTCAGTCTTTCAGCATTTCTTGTATTGTGATTATGTGTATCTCCCACTGTTTCCATGGTTGTATTACATAAAATGTATTTATTCAAGATTCCATGTATAAGTTTAACTTGTTCAAGTGTAACGTTTATTTCATAAACAATGTTTGTTGAAGTTGGTCGATACAAGTTATACAGAGTTTTTATTGATTTGTTTTGCGCTCTTCCTAGTTTGTTAATTAATTGTTGTGATTCATTGCCCCAACATAGTATGATATTCCTTATATGTGATTGAATATAGCTGTGATATATTGTTTTTTTTTGACATTGTGGTTTATATATTTTGCACAGCGTTTTAATGCTCCTGTCATTGAAACAATTTTTATTATAACTTTGTTGATATGCTATGTCCACTGAAGTTTATTAACTATCCTAAGTGTTTGTAAACTTCGACTTCTTTTAGTAAGTTATTGTTTATATATAATTGTATTGTCCAATTTGGTTTGTTTTTGTGCTTTAGCACCATATATACAGATTTTTCAACATTTAATGCTAGCTCATTCATCAGTAGCCATTGATAGTATTTGTTTAGGTCATTAGCAAAGGTAAAGTATCTTGCATCCAAACCAGCCATTTTCATTGAGTGGACATACAAAAGATACAGTATACGTCCGTACCAATTTTCAGATCAATCTGTCAACAGGAAGGGGGTTAAATACTAAGTTTGACACAAACAAACACACAAACAGGGCAAGCTAAATACAATCGTTTGAAAAATCGCTGATCGAATGTATGTAGCCCACTAAATTTGACCATCACCTCGTTTCTTGAACAGACCTTTGTGAATGAATTCCATCAAATGAATGGATTGATGAATGAACCTTCAAAACAATGAAAAACTCGCAGCAATCACTTTACAGATCGTCCTCTTAACACAAGGCCGTAAAGCTTTTTAGCTTGTCACTCGAGTCTGAACTTTTACATCACTTTGAATCCCAACCGGGAGTTACCCAAAACCCACACCGGGAATTACGGATTCCTGTCCGACACTCGATCGGAACAAACGCCGCCAAAAATGCGGAGTACAAAAACTTTTGACGTTCACAGCAATCGGCGTTTTCCCGCCCGTAACCATGGAAATGTGAGGTCGATTTGCGCAGCGTTTTTCATCGGCCCGACAGCTTTCCCAGATGATCTCCCGTCACACCGTAGCCATCCGCGAAAAGACCGTCAACGTCCGCTGTAGCTCGTCCAAGAACCTCCGTGACTTCAGTTTGAAGTTGTCGTAAATGCGAATGGTTCGAAGTTGAAACTTGCTGGTTTTGTTTCAAGTTGCGCGATGTGAGCTCTAACTGCTATTTTTCTGGCTTCTTCTTGTGAGTATCGCTAGCTTCTTGAAGTCCTTTCTACATATATTTATTTTTCTGAGATTCTCGCCATAGAGTTTATGGAAAGGGTGTCTTTTATTCTCCTACTAAAACTGCTCAAGGGCCTACTTGATGTCGTTGCTTCTCAATCTGTTCTTTCAGTTTCAATTTTCAAGAATTTTTTTTTTAATATAATCGGAGATATTCAATCAAAAACTCAACAGGCTCATTATATGCAATAACTTGTTTACAGAACACTTGTTTGTGTTTTAGTATGAGAGTAAATAAGTTGCCTAATGCGGAATAGGTAGATGCCGAATAGAATTTGGTTTAATAGAAAACAATTACATAAGAAAGAATATTTGAAAATGTATGAATGCAAGAGTATTATAAAAAATGGTTGACAGTGAAAATAAGACCCAAAAAAGCAAACATAAAACGTTGTTTTACTGAATTTAAAAGAGTGTTGATGATACATTCACTTCATTGTCCAGAGAAATAACTTTATTGAGGTCTGTTAAAAAAATAGGGTGAACTTTCATTTTTCTCAATTTCTATTTTGAATGAATCGAAGAGGTTTCGTATGAAAGTGTAAAATTATAAAATTATTGCAAAGCGCTTTCGACTTTCGTCATCATTAGTGCTCACCTGAAAGTAAGTAATCTAATTAAAACGTGAACATTTTTTTAGGTTATGAAATTTAGAAAAATTGTTTATGATTACTTACTTGTCAGGCAACAGAAAGTATAAAAAACGAGGACGTTGTACATTTGTAATATTTCATTTATATAAAACAAAATGTGGTTCAGTCAAAGTATTTTATGAAAGAAGGGCAATTTGAGACAGAATACAGAATGTGTCAAGTCAAGTATCATGTTGGAAATAATGGTAGGTACCAACTTGAGGAGTGATCCATTATGGATTTAAAACCTCACACAAATGTTCAAGGTGAGCACAGGTTCATTGAATTTCAACTAAGAGTCCGAGATTATTGTTTTGTAGAGAGTTCTATTTCTCAATTTGAATTTCTCTAGGTACTTACTTCGGGACTGACTAATCAATTTTTTTTGCTTTTGAGGCGCCTGACTTTCCATTTCTTCCAACTCGCCGTAAAATAATGCAGAGTCATGGTTTCATTGCGTTTTTCATTTTATCTTTTCATAACCTCCTATCCAATAGCCTCTTTTCCTGTACATATGTTTGTACAGGTCCATATATTCTTTAAATTCTGTGATTCAGTGTCTCGCATATACATAAAACATGACAAGCTGTTTCTGTTCCTTAGCCGCATCACTCGCAGATGAACTTTTCGTTCATAACCCTATTTTTTCAGATGGCCCCTAATTGGGCAGCATACAAGATGTACAGTACCCTGCCATATTGAAATAGGTCTTCAGATAGTTTTACAGATAGTCCCAGGCTATCTCTGGTGCCACAGTGACCGTCAATTGTCGTGGAAATCCTAGACCTAACTCCTCTTTTCATCTTGCTGAAAAGAAAGGCTAGGTGAACACCATATACAGAAACTGGCACAAAACTGGCTTCTACTGGCTGACACTGAAAGTCACAGCTTTCTGGGAACGACTTCCGATCTAAAGCATCCAACTGTCAACTACTATATACCATATACAGACCTAATCCCAAACAGGTTCTGGTGTAGGTCTTGAAATCCCTGATCGAGGATGGACCTGTGTAGGGACCTATAAGCTCGTATTCGGAAATCTGCGGCATAGATTTATGTGGAAAGACTGGTAGAAACCAACCTCACACATAAATCAAAGACAGAATTAGATCCTTCAGCTTCTGGTGTAGGTTTTTACAGTCTCTGATCGATAATGGACTTGTCTAGGGACCTATGAGCTCGTATTCGGAAATCTACGGCATAGATTCCTGTGGAAAGACTGGTAGAAACCAACCTCACACATAAATCAAAGAAATGATTAGATCGTTCAAGTACTGGTGTAGGTCTTTACAATTCCTGATCGAGTATGAACTTGTCTAGGGACCTATGAGCTCGTATTCGGAAATCTGGGGCATAGAATTGTGTGGAAAGGCTGGTAGAAACCAACCTCACACATGATTCAATAAAAATATCTCCGTTTAGCCATGCAGCTTTGGAAGCACTGAGCTCTCAACGAGCAACATGTAAGTTCATAGAGAATTGACAAAACAAATTCTCCATGATATGAAGACTCAATAAATTGTATCTGGTCTAGCTTACTAACCATGCTGGCCTGGATGGCAATGTAGCTACTGACCCCTCTGCAAGGAAGGGCGATTTGCGCTTTTATCGGACCAGAACTATTTTAAACTTTGCTAAATAAACATTGGACTGCAGATTTCAAGCAAAATTCACCAGGATTTCCAGGTATGTTACCAAAAAATAGTAGTGAGGACCTACGTTGTCTCTACGTTGTGACTCACAAGTCACTGTTGTATCAATGGTAGATGACTAAGGATTAAGGACTAACAAGGTCTTACTTTTCAACGTGTGATTCCTAGCAATGTGAACCTAAACGATTGAAGATAAGCATATATTTGGGGTAACAGTGACAATTGACTGGTTGAGATTTTTGGAACAGATACAAAAATATCTGAATTCATCTCAGTTAGAGCTTTGGCAGGCTCTTATAAAGCTTGACATGAGGACTATTGTACATCAAAATAAAACCGTAAAACAGTGTTTCAGCTATTGCTACGTTATCGAATTCATTCGTTAGTCTTTATAAACATAAAATTATTGACAAGTCATAAAACTATAATGAAAATATACCGAAATATGGTAAATTCAGTTACATATCAAAAACACACGTCACTCATGTGAAACTTCAGATTCAAAACCCTGCAGACCACGGTAAATAAACCCAAGAAATGGCGATCTTTGACTTTCATTACTATTTTCTCCTAACTCTACATCAGTATAAAGAATGGGAAATATATTTCCGATTAAGTTTAAGTGAACATAAAAACTAGAAAACCCTAGAACCTTTTCTAGGTAATGAACTAATTCGAATAGCAGTAAAATGAATGTGAAATAAGTAATTGAATCCATGTCTGAGGGAGCTGGAACAATCTACTTCACTATTATGACTGACGTTTCGCTGACTTCCGAACCGATTCTAACTGAAGTTCATAATCAGGCTTGAACGGAGTACCGAGGCGCTTCCTTAATGAATGTCTTGAATTCATTCAATTATTATACTCATTAGATTTCAACTTCACCCTTCTAGAACACGAGTGACAGTTGTTCTCATCCCTCATAGGCTTCATTTATGATTCGTGTACGATAATTATCAGGAATTGACAACGCTTTTATGAATCATGTGCGTTGATGAAATCATTCAAATCAGTGAAGGATGCAATTAAAATATCTGACGTAGAGGTCCGAAAAAACATTTTTTCATACATAAAAAAGGGGCAATACTTATTTTTGCCGGTTCTTTTAATTTTGAACCAATCAATTTCCAAAAAATTTTCACACACGATTCACACGATCAATTTCCAAAAAATTTTCACACACGATTCACAAGACAGAAATTATTCGACAAGAATGTGTTTTTAATATTCAGATCCGATGGTTTTTATCTGAGAGGATTTTTTTTTAATTTTTTCTGAAAACGTATCACCATCAATTCAATTCAAACTCGGTTCCCATAAAAAATTGGGGAAGGCACCCTCTCTTAGAGTGAAAATTTAAGGATTT